TCAATACAAGACAACTTTGTCTCCACCAACACAATTAAAAACACCTCATTATCCCTTACTATCTCTCTAAGATAAAGAGAAGCCTCTCTTTTTGGCAACTCTGCAATTCCAAAATAAGAAGGAATACATCAAATAACCAACGGGGAATGGTCCCTAGCACCATGCCAACCACCTCCTTCTCCTTTCCTCTTTCTTGGAATATCCTCAAGAGGCCCTAATGATTTAAGTTCTTTAGCAAGCTTCTGTTTATTACTAAATGAACTTTAATTATTAACAACACTAGTAAGAGATAAATTTTTATCTATTTGAAAAGACGCATTCCTTGCTATAAGCACATCACCAATTCCATCTAACTTTTCTGATGAACGACCACCATTACTACAAGCAAATGACATATTTTCAAGAAGAGATGATTACCTATTAACACACTTGACTTTCAAAGCCATCTGAGAATTCTAAATTTTAGCATAACTAGACATATTAGCATCCAACCTGTTTAATGCTTCTTTTGCATCACATTCCACACTTCCATTTACGCTAAGCTGCAAGATGTGATCGCCTACATAATTCCTAATTCAATCAACATTAGTAACCTCAGAAGGGGCATTAGTAACATGTACCTCTAGCTTTTTAGACTTTTGCTCATCATCATTTAGTCCATCTTTATCAACTGTAGGCTCCACAAGCACACTAAATTTGTTTGTATTTTGCAAGTTCAAACAAACTTCGTGATTGCTATTTGGTAGGAAATCATATGCTTCCTAAGTCTGGATGGAAATTGTATCTCCCATTATGTTATCTTCAAGTCCAGCCTAAGAAGGAACCTCCAGATCACTTATGTATGACACTTTTTTCTTTAGATCCTTGTTTCTGAGAAAGCTTCTCATCTTATTATGAAATTTTACATGGATCCAAGGTTTATATTTGGATTCAACAAATTGCTTTTTATTCAAACCACCCTTATTTCCTTCATCCAAATAGGAATTGAGGCATATTTATTATGAGATTTATTCTTGTCAACAGCAGCATGATCTTTAGGAAACAAATTAGCCTTATGCCCACTCTTTCCACATTTAAAGCAAAAAGAAGATATTTTCTCATACTCTATTTTTTGAAAAAATCTTCCACCCAAATAACTCCTGGAAATTTAACATCAAGATTGATTCACACACAAACTCTTGTGAATTTCCTTCTTCCCCAGTTGAATATGTTTCCATCAAGAAGCATAGGGACACTCACCTTGGAAGCAATCTTAGTTATATTAACCTCATCCCAAAAATGCAGCTAGATATGGGGCATTCTTATCCAAACATGATAATATAATCCCTTCAAGGAAAGAGGAGAGAAAGTAGTTGTCCATCTATCAATACCAACAATATAACCACATACATACCAAGGACCTCAACTCATAACTCCCTTAAAAGCTTCAAAAGAGTGGAAAGAACATAAAATCCAATCTAACCCCAAGGATGTTAAATGGAATCCTCCAAAATTGCTCCATTGCTTTCTCAATTCCACACTACAAAAAGGAAAAGGAACATTCTTCCCTAAGACTTTCACAACCAATGAATTCTTTAACACTCGAGAATTAGTATTCTCCTAATCTGAATTAAGCTTTATAGCAATTCCATCTTCCAACATATCAGTAGAAAGAAGATTCAAATTTATTTTAATATGAAGATTACCATTCCATGAATTTGTTGGTTTCTAGATATTCACAGATTCTTCAACCAGTACATAACTTTTCACAAGATTATTATGTTCTACAACATTACCCCTCATGACAGGATTAGATACAATAGATGAAAGATTATCCCGAATCAATGAATATATGAGTATCACGATCAGAAGCGCAGTAGGTGTAATAAATCAATTAACCTTTAACTTCAACCCAGGCGATGTAGCTTCGAAATCATTTTTCTTGGATTTGGTCTCTTCATTATTGACAGCATATCTTTAGGAGGAATCTGATTATCATTAATCATCTTCCCTTTACCTTCAACCAAAGTTGTTCGCGGAATTGGTGGTTGAAAGCCTTCTCTAATCACCAATGTCAAATTCCTCAGAGATGAATTCCGTGATCTTCCTTCCAGGAGAGACGCACCTCCCTTATAGTTATCAACTCGTCTTGAGAACCATTGGTTCTTAGCTGACGATTGATGAAGAGGAGGGATGACAGACGGCGAACACCGACTGTCATCCTCCGCCATAACAACTTTCTCGCGAAAAAGCAGGAGATCATAAATTTGAAAACCCTCTCTCTCACTAGAAGACTTAGAAATTTTTCTTTTTTTCTTAGGGTTAACTTACTAGGCAATGATCTAAGAGGTTTACTACTGACTGAATTTATAATATGACTTAATTAGGTTTTCAAAATTTTAATAGAAGCAGATTGATTTTGCAATTGAGTTCCTAATTGAATCACTATATCTTTCAATGGTGATTTTCAACTTCCAAACTAATTGCTTTGATTAAATTTTAGATTATATGTTGTTCTAGAATAATTGTAGGTTGTTGAGTATTATTCAAAATAACTACTTTATTATTTTGACTAGAATTCCATTTATTATTCCTTGCAATATTTTTTTACTAACTAAAATTTGGATGGTTCCTCCAACCTAAATTATATGTGTTGGAGTAGGGAATGTTTTGGCTTCCATTCAAATTAATATTTTATATTATTATTTTCAATTAACTTTTGATCCTCCAATTACATAAGTAATTTAGTTCCAAAATTTGCAAATTCTCTTATTGTGCTCAATTTTTTAGAAATTATTCCTACTTGTGTAGTCAAAATTAACATCTACTCTCTTAGGGTTTACCCTTTCAGCAGACCATTGAAAATTGTTAGTAGTCATCTCTTCTTTTAATTCATATGCTTCCTCAAATGGCTTAAACATTAATGATCCTCTAGCTGCAACATCTATCATAGCTCTAAGATATCCTACTAATCCATTATAAAATATTTGAATAACCAACCAACCAGGTAAAGCTTGGTGAGGGCCTTTCCTTAAATATCTCTCAACTCTCATAAATTAATTCTCCTTCAAACTAAGTAAAAGAAGTGATATCATTTCTAAGTTTAGCAATCTAGTTGAATCTATGTAAAAATGAAATTACTCTAATATTTCTATTTTATTATTGGTGGAAAATGTATTAAAAACTTGGAGTATGTTGAATGTAATATGTATGTTTTTTTTTTTTTTTTTTGTTGAGAAAATGCAAAGAGCAAGGATTTTATTAAAGCAACTAATTACAAATAAACTCCTTCTTTATCAGATGAAGAAAAGAAGGAGGGATACTGCTTTCATTCAGATCTTTTCAAAAAAAATCTGAATTCAGAGCAAGGTTAGCTCACATGTCGGCTAACTTATTACAATCTCTACTAGCATTAGAAAAAATAACTTGCTTAAAATCTTTAAGAAAATCTAAATCCTTAGGATTTAGATATTCTTCTGAAATAGAATTGTTCTGAAGAGCTCTTTGAAAAAGAAAGGCTTCATGATTGAAGGTGGTAATATGTCTGTTGAGGTGTAGTCACTCATGCTTATTTTTTGCATCTATTTCAGGTCAGGATAAAATGAAGGGGTAGGCTAAGTAGAGGAAAACTTGTAGATATTAATATCTGAGTCTATAAGATGTTATATGATTTTTGATATTCATGGATTTTTTGTTATGCATTATGTTGTATGAGCCAAATACTATTTGTATATAATTATTTTGTTTGTAAGTATTTCTGATATGGATTAAAAAGCTTTTGATGATGAGTATTTATCTATTTTAATTAAAATTTCAGTGGCTATGCCATTTGTAAATTATTTGAATGTTTTGCAATTCTCTCCATTGACCCGTTCTGTCTATGGGTTACATTAGGTCGGGTTGTGACATCAAAAGAGGAGAAGACAATGTTGTTGAAAGTCAAGCATCGATGTTGTGCAATGGGCTATGATGTTTTATAATTGTGACTCATCTTGCACCTCATTATAGGCCATTATAGGCAACAATGAGAGATAATTGTTTATAACAATATTTATTTAAGTGTGTTAACTATACAAAAGTTATCATCAAACTTTTTCAAAAAAGAAAACAATTAAAATATTCACAATAGCTTTTAAAAAAGTTAGTGTTTTTTTAATAATAAATCAATAATAACTTTTATATAAAATTACATCGGACCATAATGACTTATTTTGGGATGATTGTGACTATTTATAAAGATAATTGTAAAGCAATTATGATAAAATATATTTTTAATATGATCAAGTATGTACTATAATTTTTTTATTTTTAAAAATCAAATGATTTATTTTAATAACAATCATACTCTAGCATATTTGATTGTAAAAAGTAATCTTGCAAGACAAACTTTTAAAAAATAACTTTTGAGAAAAAAAAAAACTAAAATAAAAACATCACATACCATAAATCCTTTTTAGGATAAATTTTTCTTTTGTATTTTAGAAAGAATATTTGGTTTCCTTTTTTTTTTTACTATTTTTTGTTTTTTAAATCAAATCAAATTATTTTTAAAAATACTCACAATGAATTTTAGGTGTTTTCAATATTTTAAAAATGAAACCAAACTTACAAGTCACCCATCACAGTTATGATTCAGTTGTTGACATCACGATCATCAAGCATTATCAGCACTGCTGCTAATCACCATCAACAATCACCATCATTGGTCCTAGGTCAAAACCATTGCAATGAGCTGTGGTTTATCGTCAATGGCGTCATTGCCATTGCTACGCCCTATCATCACTAGCCATCTCTTAGCCGCCAATATTCCAATGTAGAAATTGCTAGGATTGATACATAAATTGACTATTCAATATTTAATTAAAAAGCTTATACTTAAAATATTAAAATGTTTTATTTAATATCATAATATAAACAAATAAATCAAATAACATTAAACAAAAGAGAAAGAGACACCAAAATCTTCTTTGTCATATTTCTCACCACGCGGGTCATATGCTGCCAACTCAATGACAGCGAGTCGGTGCGTTAAGAAAGAAAGACGAAACAAACACTGGCACTGTGGCCAAGCTCTCCCTCACTTGCTCCTCCCCTTCTCACACAAATCCCAAAACCTACTTCGCATTCAACCATTCCATGGACGAGGCGCTTTTACCTCACACTGATGAAGAGAGGGGCGGCTGGAAGACCTTCCCGTTTATAATAGGTTATCTCTCTCTCTCCCTCTCCCATCTCTCTCTCTCTCTCTCTCTCTCTCTCTCTCTCTCTCTAAAAGAGTACGGTGATGAAGCAGGGGCGATTATGGGAGTGGCGATGGTGGCGTATGGGGTTTCCTCCAACCTGGAGGTGTACCTGATCAAGGGGTTCAACGTCGGCCAGATCGATGCCACGCAGATCAATGGCATTGCCAGCGGCTGCATCAGCTTCGCTCCCGTCGTCGGCGGCGTCCTCGCCGACTCCTTCCTCGGTTGCTCCGCCGTTCTTGCCGCCGCTGTGGTCGCCTGCTTCTTGGTAACCAATTTATGTTCTTTCTCTTTTGTGCCTCTTGGTCTTTCTTATGGTCTCATGCTCCAATATTTCAATTCTTGCATTTTCGCATTCAAGTCCCTTTTCACCCGGTTTGGTATAAAACATCATGGAGAATTCATTAGGCATTTCGGCGGAGGATAAGTTTAGAGTAATGTTCACCCCGTTACTAAATTTATGCTTGAAATAGAATTTATTTATTTTTTTTATTCACGAGAAAAAAATAAAAAAATCATTTTAAGTGCATATTTATTTGGAGAGTAAAGCATTACACATTAATTTATGATGAGTTGAAGCCTGAATTTTATCCCATAAAGAAATTCTAGTTTAAAAATTTAAGATGAATTCAGGGTGGACTAAAGTTAAATCCTAACAAGCAGTTTTTCTGGACTATTATAAACTCATTATTTGGTACCTCTAAATTTAAATAAAAATTTATTGTATCCTCTCTTGCTCTATGTGTGTACATATATTGATATGTCACTAAAAATTCATAAAATCTAATCAAGCGCTTATCTTAACTCAATTTTTAGATCTTAAAAATGCATAGTATTTTAATTTTAATCATAAACTTTAAAAATTGACTTCAGGACACATGAACTTTGTTTTTAGAAAACATACATTCAAAACGTGCATCTCGGCAAGATGAATCTAATAAGCCTAAATTCACTCAATTTTGATGTGATTAAGACACTCAAATGCTTAAAAAATATTTTATATTTAATGTGGATTATTTTGGGTTATCTAATATTCTAATGGAGTGTTTAAAATTTTGGTAATATAATCAAATCTTTCAGCCAAATATTTATAAATAGGACTTCATTCTACACTTAAAAGGAGAATTTTGATGAAGAGCATTTTTGGATTTGAAGAACCCTTAAGATCACCTCATATCATCATCGCCCAACACCAACAACTACCAGCAGTAGTTGCTGCCCCTTTGTTCTTATAAAACATTAATGGACATCGATGTTTGTTACTATTCAACAATCATTGTCAAGCTATCGTTGCCTAACCAATTTTGATGCTGACATACCATCCGACGTTGCTTGATTGCTATCAACTAACATTGATGTCCATTATCCTTTATTATTTCTCCAACATTTTCACTACTAGAGACCAAATTAACAATCCAAACATTGTAATCCTGCCATCTTTGGTCTAGGGGAAAGTGCGGATTTTTGTAAATTTTCATCTTATATAGTGGACTATTTTAACTATGCCAAACATTGTGGTTTTTCCTTCCTAGGTTTTTATGTAAAAATCCTTGCACCTCATGTGAGCTTCAACCCTTTTATCTATGAGTGTTTGGAATTTGTGAGCTACATAAATATGAAAACTAAACCCCTTATCGCCACAAAATCTTTTAACTCATAACCATCTCATTGTTTGTCGGAAAAAGTCCAATTATTATGGCCCCTACAAATACTCATTCAATAGACAACAAGCATAATACTAATAATAATGAAGTCTCTTGATCCAACACTCATCAATATGGAAATCACTTCTTTAATTTACCCCTCTCTTTCTAGTTGGTGAAGGTGTCTTAGACCCATTGCTGGAGGATACGTATTTGTTGGACGAAAGAATATTAAAAAGATCCTTTAGCTTTTATGTGATGCACGATAAATAGTGTCATTGTCGCAAGGTGGAGTCCGCCTCCCTTGCAAACAAATGAACATTGGGGCTGGTGACACCTATACAAGGCACCCTTATCAATAAGCTAAACTTTCTTCTCCACCACATACAATGGCCTTCTTGACATTGTTAGTTATGCCCATACTTCTCTTACAGCTTAATTGGCCCATAATCTTGTAACATCCATTGTGGTGTTGAGCCAACCTTGCCTTAACCCTATGACGTCCTTTAAGATGAGCTGTGATGCCTAGTTTGTATAGAATCAACTTCCAAATAGCCGCAATTTTAATAAGTCTTTTCCTTTGACTGATGCAATCATCCAAACCCCATTCTAAATGGGTTCAATCTATCTACTATTGATTCTTTTAATAAGTCATTTAATTAGTATGAGCATATAATCATTATAGGACTATCGTGCATATTTAACAACCTATGATATACTTCTCTGGCAAGTTTTTTTAACCACTATAAAATGTCAAGATCGCAACCAGTTATACAACCACCGTGGAGCTATTAATACTTTCGCCAAACTTGTTAGGTTAGTTGTTTATAAATTGAGGATTCATAAAAAATTTCTAACATCTATTTTTTTTTTTGAAGAAGCAAACAATTGCATTAATAACTAAGAAAAAAAACATACAAACATACAAATCCATTAACTTACTACAATTCCTATCTATACAATTAAAAATGACATGATTAAAATCATTGATAAAAGCTAGATCTTCCAACTCGTGGCCATCATTATTAATTGTACCTTGAAGAAATTTAATAATGTTAGAATTGTTGCCTTCAATGATAATTCCTTTGTATTTGAACATCCAAACTTTAATGACATCCTTTAAAGATTGAATAGCTAAAAACTCCAATTGTCCCAATGAACACATGATTTTCCAAATGCCAACAAAAATCTGCCTTAAGCATCAACATTAAACTTTAACCAATTGGGAGGAGGAGGATGCCAAAGATTGGACAGTCTGATCGACTAGTTAGCATCCCAATGGCCTGAGCTGAAATTATAAGAAAATTTAGAAACCGAAGAGAAGCTAACAACATTGGAAACAATCACAGCCGAGCTCTCTTCCATTCCATCATGAATGAGTTTATTTATAGCTTTGCATGAGAGGAACACAACATTGCAATACAACTTAACCAATATACTATCATGCAACGCAAGAAGATCCAACCACTTATAGCATTCTTCAAACTTTTCAAACGAAGGAATTCCAAAGCCCCAATTGTTTAAATGTTGAAGTACTTCTTTCAGCTTGACACATCTGATTGCAACATGCTCTATATCTTCTATCTCATTACAACATCTAGGGCAAGAAGCATTATCCCGCAATCTCCTGTAAGATAAAAATTGACCTTTAGGAATAGCATTATTAAACAACCTCCACCAAAATACCTCCACCCGAGAGATTAGTTTAGCCTTATTGATCCATTTTCAAAACTGGGATTCATACCGATTATGCAATGAAGCTTCGAATGCCAAAGCTGAAATAGTTTTGTCGGACTTTTGATAAATAAGCTCCCTCTTATCTTCAGTAAATTTAGGTTTAATTTTAATTTGAGTTATGAAGTCCACCAAATCCTTACCAATGACTTTCAATAGTTCATTTCTATTCCAGGTGCCATCTGCAATAAACCTGTCCATCAAAACTACATTATCTCCTAGAGGCACCACATATGTTGGCTATCGGTTGATGCACTTGTCCATAATCCAATTGTCTTTATAGACATCAATAGAGCCACCATCTGCAATAATCCACCTCGCAATTGGATTGAGCAGTCTTTGGCCATCAGTTATTATTTTCCAAGAAGATGAGTAGTTCCAACATTAGCCCAAGTACCATACTTTGGAGCAAGAGTCCTATGCAGCAGCGATTCTTTATTTTGTTCAAATCTCCAAGCCAATCTTGCTCTTAATGCAGAAACTTTTGATGCATTAGAATGTAATCCACGACCTCCCCATTTCAAAGGCTTGTACAATTACTTCCAGCTAACATAGTGTAAACTCAGTCTACCATTCGACTTATTCCATATGAAGCTCCTACACAACTTATCCATCTCCTCAAGCATGTCTTTCGGAACAAGAGAGTGTGTGCAATGAAATGTGGGATAAGAAAGCATTACAGATTTAACCAAAGCAAATTTTGCCGTCAAAGAAATGAACTTGCTACCCCAAATATTTAGCATCCTCAATGCTTTGTCAATGATAAACTAAAAATCAGCACCCACTAATCTCCTCGAAGCAAATTTTAAACCAAGATAATGGAATTCTTTCACTGATTTAAAACCCATAATACAAGAAATAACTTTCTTTTTTCTTTTACTAACAAATTTACCAAAAAGAATGCCAGATTTGTTAACATTGATACATTGACTAAATATCCCAACCACAAAAGTCATTAAGAATCCCCTTAATCTCCTTCACAGCCTTCTTATTAGCTTTAGAAAATATAATAATATCATCTGCATATAATAAATGTGAGATCCTTAGCCCAACAAAACTAATGCGAATCCCACATGAATCACCTCTTTGAACAAAATCATTAGACAAAAGTTGAGAACAAAGAATAAATAGAAGAGGAGACAAAGGATAACCTTGACGGAATCCGCTCCTGGCCTTAATCCTCTCCGAAAAGTTGCCATTTATTATCAAGGAAAACCTTGGATCTTCAACACATTCTAATATGAGATTGGAGAACTTTAAAGGAAATCCAAAATATTTCAAGATTTTCTTAAGTGTGATCCAGCACATAGAATCATATGCTTATTCAATGTTAATTTTGAATGAGACTAACCCTTTTGAAGATCTAGAGTATCTGAATTTGTGGAACATTTCTTGAGCAACCAACACATGATCCGACAACGATCTTCTCTTCAGAAATGCCACTTGCTCCTCAGAGATCAGTTTATGGACAAAAGATAATAATCTATTCAAAATCACCTTAGCCGCCACTTTGTAAATAATGTTATATAGACTGATAGGTCTATAATTAGAAGGAGACAGCGGGTTGCTCACCTTAGGAATAAGCACGATTAAGGTATCTTTCCAAACTTCATTCAACTTCCCAAAACAAAGAAAATGCTTAATAGCATTCCAAAAATCTATTTTAATTATGTTTCAATCAAGAAGTAGGAGATACCATCAATGGCAGGAGCAATGTTACCACCAGTTTGCTTCAAAACCAGCTCCACTTCATCCACGGAAAAATCTCTGTTCAACAAGCAGATGTCTTCTTCATTCAAACAATTTAGCAGAATAGGCCACCCATCCAGATTACAATTCCTCTGTTTCCATTTCAGTTTGAAGAATCGAAACAACACCTCCTCAATTTGTT